CTGAAATATGAGAATTTAAAGAAAATATTTTAAAAATTAAGTCACTTTAGAAATTTTTTAAAAAATTAAGTCAATATTGTTTTTGTTATTAATTTCAGAGATTATTTTTATATTTTAGGGAAAAAAGTAAGTCTGACTGAAGTTCAGATCATTTAGAATAACAAGAAAAATTACTCACTTAATTTTTCACAATTAAAGCAATAAGTAGCATTAGATGCATACAAAAACAGGACAGTGACTAAGGAAGAACAAAAGTGAATTGAATACAACTATATTTCAAAGACTTTGAATTATGGTTTTGGCAAGGAAGTTTTTATATACCATGGACTCTCAGAAGAACTGAAAGTTTGGGGTGCACAGTGAGATTAACATTAAACAGCTAACCAAAGGTCAATGTTCAAGCTGTGTGCCTCAGCTTATAAATAGGAGGCTGGCTGTTTCTGAGAATATAACTGTAGAAATCCTCCAGCCTAGTTCTACTCTGTCAAGTAGGGTCATAATGCATCCAAATTGAATAAAATTATTTTGCTTTTGACCAGAAGAGACACATTTGTCTTGAAATATATCTGAAATATTCTTCGCAAGTGAGAAAGGTAAGATTTTTGTCTTAAGAATGTTGAACATGTTATTAGGAAGGACTAGTTCACAGAGACATCATGTTTGGCAGAGTGGAGGGGAGGTGAAAGAGAGGAAGACCTTTGGTGAGATGGATCGATTCTGTGCTGGAGCGGTGGGAATAAGTGCGTTTGAGATGGCTAGGTTGGCACACGATAGAATAGCATTTAGAGCTCTTGTACATAGGGTCGCTATGAGTCGCAAGTGACCCAATGGCACATAACAATAACAACAACAGTTCACAGAGAAAGGCATCATGCTTGGCAAAGTAGAGGAGCAGGTAGAAAGAGGAAATCTCTCAGACATGAATTAATAGTGACTGAAAAATAACTATTTTTATGAAGACAAAGGATCAAGCAATGTCTCAAGGGGCTTCTATAAGTCAGAATTCAAAAGATGGTACCTGTGAAGAGTATTTTTTAAAATATTGTCATTCATAAAGTAATACATAAATATTTTACCCATTCTTCCTCTTATTAATCATAGTTCATCTTTTTATTTTAAGGTTAAAACTTTCAATTTCAATACCTCTGTTGGCTTAGTGGCAAGGAATTGTACCACCATGCATAGGCACACAGTTTGAAACAGCCAGTTGGTCCAGGGGCAATCTCTTTCCATGCCATTAACTGTCTCTGATAACCTGCTGGAAGGTCTGTTAGAGAATGGTTCTGACACAATGGTACACAGCAATATCCTTTTACTTTAAATAAAAAAAGCAATTTCTGTGCAATTGGAACCAACAACAGCCGTAGGTTTTATATACCGAGGACAAAATCTATGTAGAAATCTATATTGCTCTTTCTATGTAACGTTGAGTTGGAATGGACTCACAGCTGAGCATCTTGCGGGTTTTCAGAGGCTAAACTTCCATGTGAACTACATAGGAAGAGGTGTGTATCTTTCTACCTCTGAGCAGCTAATGGATTTGAATTGTCTGCTTCTAGGGTGGCAGTGCAACTCTTTACCTCAGGCCACAGAGAATAAAATCCTTAGTACCATTAGATACACATGCATTTTCCTTACAAACAACAAATACCTTCCATCCAACTCCATTTTCAGTTTATATCTACATCACATTTTTGTCCAAACCAATGCTCACAGACTAATTTCCATGTATAAAACATCTTGCCTATCTAATATCATACCAAAATCTATCTGTTTGATTCCCTTACACAAAATGAAATATTCTCCAATCCTTTCTTATTTCTGTGATTTTTTTTTGAGTGAACATTGATATATTATGGAAAGCAAATCTCCATCAGGATGTTTATACTGTCATTTAAAAGCATTTTTAATTAATTAATGATACCAATTCCTTTCTAAACTCTCTAACAGTAACTGTATGGTATTGTTACTTTGTTAATCAAATCAGTTCTACACATAGTAACCTTATCTAGAACGTCACTAAACACTGCAGGATCCTTCCCCATTCTCACAATCTATGCTGCATTTCAGCTTATTTTTACAGTCTCACTTCTCTTTGATGGTCGAACTCTTTTTCACTGTTGTGTTTGTTTTTTTGGTGTCGTTTGTGTTTTTGTTTGTGCTTTTTTTGTGCATGTGTGTTTGTTGCTTTTTTTTTTTTTTTCTCATTGAGTAGACACGAATCCATAGTTGACCCACCAGTGGATTTTCAAAGGCACGAGAGCACATGTGAGGAGATAGCCCATCTTTCTTCAGTGGAGCAGCTGGTGGCTTCAAACCATGTGCCTACAGATTGGTAGCACAGCTCCTTACCTGTTAGATTACCAGAGCGCCCTTTTTTTCACTAGCTCTGCACATTTTCAAGTGCAATGTCATTCTCCGGGACTGGGTCCTCCTGATTACACACTCAAAGCACGTGAGATGAAGTCTCACCATTCTTGTGTCTGAGGAGCATGTTGACTACAGACTTCCAAGACAAATGTGTTTTTTTTTCTTTTGACAGTCCACAGTATGTTGAATGCTCTTCAACAACACAATTCAAGGGCATCAATTTTTCTGCAGTTGTTCTTACTCATTATCCCACTTTCACATGCATATACAAAATACCACGGCTTGGAGCAGGGCAGGTGAGTCTTAAAGTGGACACCTTTACATGTTAGCACCTTAAAAGAACTCCTTTATAAAATATTTGTCCAATGCAGTAAGTAATTGGATTTCATAAATGGTTCTTCCAAAGGTGTTGATTATGGATCCAAATAAATAACAGTTTGTGAAAACTTAACTCTTTTCTCCATCTACCACGATGTTGTCTGTTGATCAGTGGTAGGGACTTCTATTTTCTAGATTTGGAGGTGTTATCTGTACTGAAGGCTGTAGTATGTTGTCATCTTGGTAAGTGCACCAAGTCCTTTTAACAATTAAACTATTAATTAGCAAATGATGACTGAGAGTATGTGCATGTAACAGGTTGTTAAGGAGTCTTCCATCAATCCTAATGCCATAGTCTTCTTTAGATAGTCAAGGATCTTAAATTCAGTGCTTCATTTAGGTTTCAATGCAAGTTTTCTGAAACTGTAAATCTAAATAAGTGGCGACTACTCATCTTTCTTCTACAGATTTGCTAGTGGTTTTGAAATATTATAGAACATTAAAGAAGAGGTACCTCTTTATTATTAGCCTAAAAGGCTGTGGACTAATCTACTAGATGTACGGTGAAAGATTTTCAACCTGACACAAAATATTTCGAGTTTAAGCCATGTAGTATCTCTTTGTTGTGGTGAAATAATGGATTCTTCATACATACAGGTTTCATCTGAGAAAATTTAGTTGTTATGAAATTCCCATTCTCTGCACTGTTATCTGTATTTTGATCCACACAGTGAAATGCCTTAGAGACTTATAGTCTAAAAATCATCAGAAGCCCCGAAACACAGTGACAAAATGTCTGCTATAATTTACGATGTAGTATTTGAGACCTTCACAGAAAATTAGTGTCTAGGTACAAAATTAAATTAAAGGGATTAGAGGACAGAGTTCCAAAAACTGACAGTTGCTCTGATGTGTGAGTCAAGTATAACGTAATTCTAGTCTGTGTTCTAAAATATGATGAAATTACCTTAAAATAACAATTGCAGTAGTAAAAAAACCCACTGCTGACATATCAATATAATTTGTAGAAGAGAAAAGAAAGGTGAAGTGAAATACAATGCAAGTTTACCCTTTCAACAGATGAATCAACAAGAAAAACCATCCGGAAGAAATCTATCTAATTTCATGGAGTTTGTTCTGTTGGATTTTGCTGATGTGCCCCATCTCCAGTGGTTTCTTTTCGGATTATTTTTAATCATTTATATTATTATCGTGATGAGCAATGGCACTATATTTCTGGTAACCAGATTAGATTCTGCTCTCCAGAGTCCCATGTATTTTTTCCTGTCAAGCTTCTCCTTCTTGGAAATCTGCTATGTATCAGTCACTCTCCCTAGAATGCTGATGAATCTTGCGACCCAGAGAAGAAGAATTTCTTTACTTGCCTGTGCTACACAGATGTGTTTGGTTCTTATACTTGGAGGTACGGAGTGTTTGCTGCTTGCAGTGATGGCCTATGATCGCTATGTAGCCATTTGTAACCCTCTGCAATACCCTCTAATCATGAACCATGGAGTTTGTATCCAGTTGGTGACTGCATCTTGGACCATTGGGATCCCAGTTATGATTGGACATACCTACCAGATTTTCTCTCTACATTTTTGTGGCTCTAACCAAATAAATCATTTCTTCTGTGACATTCCCCCAATCCTCAAGCTGGCTTGTGGAAATACTTTTATAAATGAGATGTTGGTCTTCATAGTTGCTGTGCTGTTTGTCATGGTTCCGTTTATATTGATAGTTGGCTCCTACAGTAAAATCATCTCTACTGTCCTAAAATTGTCATCAGCTACTAGCCGAACAAAAGCTTTCTCCACCTGCTCATCTCATCTTATGGTTGTGATGTTATTCTTTGGATCAGCCATTATTACATACTTAAGACCCAAGTCTGGTCAACCGGAAGGAACAGACAAAGTGCTTTCTCTTTTCTACACAATCCTGACACCTGTGTTTAATCCCATGATATATAGTCTAAGAAACAAGGATGTCATAATGGCACTGAGAAAATTGTTATGTAATAAATCACTCTTTTAAAAAATGAGTTAAATGCTTAAGAATTGAGTTGTATATTTTCCATAAAATTTCAGTAGCTGTATCTCTTGTACAATACCTTGTCTTTCCATAGTAATTATTTCCAAGTTAAAACTTTCTTGTATCACATCTTTCTGCTGAATTGATAAAAATTATTGATCTATATTTCAGCAAATAGAAAATAATTCTATGAATAATTTTTAAATTCCTTTATATAATATGATCCCTCTACAAGAACATCTGCTGGAAATAATTTAATTTGGCCAGATGTAAAGTACAATCTAATAGATCACTCATGGAACAATAGAATTCATTTTTTTGTACATCATACAATTCTCAAAACGAAATTGAAAATATATATTAAAGGATAGAATACTAAGATTTTTCCTTGCAGTGACTCTTCATAAAACCATTCCTTAAAAAGAACACAAGATTTTTTCATTGAAGTTGCCTTTTATAAATGATGAAGCTTTATCAACACAATTGATCATGAAGCATGACCTGTGTATATTGTTGTGGTTGGGTACCATCAGGTCTGAAAGGACTCATAGCTGACTCTCTTGTGGGTTTTCAGAGGCTTTAATCATATGAGAGGCGATTGCCCATCTTTCTCCTACAGAGCAACTGGTGGATTTGAACTGTGTGCTTTTGGGAGTGCTGATTAGCTTCTTGCCACTAGACTTAGTTATTTCCTGTTTAGTTATTTCCCTAAATCTGCATCACTTGGTTATATCAGGTGTCTACTCCTTGTCATGTCTGATCCTTTCTAACATGTCCCAAATGAACTTTGTGACTGATGTTATTAGGAGAAGAGAGTATCTGTTATAGAGTCATTATACTTTATTCTTTATTTCAGACTTTGACACCAATATCTTACAGAGAGTGGTTTAGTGCATTTCTCCTCTATACACTATGTTGGCAGTGCTTTTGAGAGTTGTGTCACTCTGTAGGTTTAGGTATGGTCCAGTAGAAATGTGGAAAAAATACTCCTCTTTTGCCTTTAAGCCTGCATTATAAAACCATTAATATCTCTTATCATCTGTCATGGTGTCTTCCATGTGTGTATTTCTTTTTGTTGTTTTATTGTTTATGGAAATAGATTTGTATAAAACTCTTCTCAGTATTTTAAATACTGTAAGTATTCAGTACTAGTTTCATATAGGTCACTACAATGAAGAAAGATAACAATCATGAGAGTGATGATATCAGTAGTATTTTTCTTTTATGAAATTTGGCACAGTTGCTGTGAGAATATGATGAGACAGTGATAACACAAAAGGGTTAAATGGTACATTTTTAATACTTTATGATCTTGAGCAAATCAATACATTACAATATTAACATACATGCTTATTTAAAAGGTGTATACTGCACTGAAACAGATGAGAGACTGAATAATTTAAAAGCGATGTATGATAGGGTATTATGGTTATCACAAGAGTCCACAGTTAAGGTTGCATAGTGGAATGTACTTGGGGTGGTGGGAGGGATGTGGGGGATTGTGTATCAGGGAGGGAGTCTTTCTTTTACTTTTGGAAGAGAGGAGGGAACTGGGGGGCGGGGGGAGAGGGTTGGGCGGGGAGGGAAGTGCAGCAATGAATGAATGGAAATCCAAATTCTCTGTAAATGCTCATTAAAATTATTTTTAAAAAATAAAATAAAATAAAAAAGGTATTAAAATAATATCTAAAATAACTCATATTATTATTGTAAGGCTAAAATATTTAACAATGATAAAAAAACATTTTGATAAAATTGAACAACAGAACATGGATATGCTGGATATATTTATAAAGAATTCATGATGAAATCACTAGATTTTATGTATTTCTTATTCAACTTTTTAGCAGTAACCATGTCAAAGTTTTAATTTTTTATAATATGTTTAGTTTGTCTGCTTACTTATGAGAAGTAAAAAATAAATTAACAATATGCATTACCAAGGGAAGAAAATCTACTTATTTGGAGGTATAAATTACAATTCTTTTTTAAAAATTCAATGTTATTTTTTTCTAAATGTGTTACTCATATGTTAGTTCACTAAGCAAAATTTAAAAATAGGATTAAATCTTTCTTAAAAGTCAGTTAAGATAGATATTAATATTACTTAATTTAATCAAGAACACTTATCAGATAAATTACATCTTTTTTGGTGCACATTGAGAAAATTGCTCAGAACTCTGAAAATTACCTTTTATTTTACAATCTCTATGATTTCTTTCCTCACTCTTATTTATGAAGTACTGAATAGTAGGATGTCACTTTAAATATAAGGGTGATCTAGAGTCAAGTCATGGTGTTAACAATTACTTCATGTGTATGTAAAAGTTGGACAATGAGTTTTATTATTAGGAGATGCCATTGACTCCAATTGTTGATTGTTTCTGAGTCGAACAGAACTCATGGTGACCCAACGAATGAAAGGCCTGAAGCCTTTCTATAACTATCATCATTTATCAAAGTTCAAGAATAACAACATGGTGACAGTGTTATAGAGTCAATATATTTAGTGAGACAATCAATCTTTTATTGAGTCCAATAGTGACTCTATAACTAACACTGTCACCAGGTTGCCATTCAGTGTTATAAAGTCAAATACAACTCATAGTGACCCTATGAACAGTATATCTGAACCCTGTTGTATCTATCTTGTTCCAGCCTCACACTTCATGACACACTAGAGCCCATCACAATAGTCAATATGTCAATTCACCTGGCTGAGTGTCTTCCTCTCCCTCACAACTCTCCATCTTTCCAAACTTCATGCCCCCCTCCAAGGAATAGTACCTCCTAGCAACTTGACTGAAGTATGTGAGGCAAAGCCTCACCATTCTTGCCTCCAAGGAGCACCCCAGCAGCACTCTCTCCAAGACAATTTTATTTGTTCTTTTGGAAGTCCTTGGAATCTTCAGTGCTCTTCTACAACACCACAACTCAAAGACAACAATTTTTCTGTCATCCTTATTCATTGTCCAACTCTCTGATGCACAGCAAGTGATAGGAAAGACCATAGGCTGAATTAAATGCACCTTAGTCCTCTAACTGATATCATTACTCTTCAATAATATGAAGAGGTTCCTAACTGCATACATGCCCAGTGCCATACATCTCCCGATATTCTGACTGCTGGTACCAAGCGTGTTAACTGTGAATCCAAGTAAGATGAAGTTGTTGACAGTTTCTATCTTTACTCCATCCATCATGATGTTGCCTATTGTTCCAAGTAGTAAGAATCTTTTTTTTTTTCTTTCTTTCTTTCTTCTCCAACGAAATTTTTATTTAATTCTGGTTTACTTACAAAGTTCATATACATTGTTTTTCCACATCAAATCTTTCCTATTTCCTTTCCCCACCCATCTAATTGTGTCACTCCAGAATCTTAATTTTCTTGACATTGAGATGCAATCCATCTTTTCAGGTCCCTGCTGGATCTTTCCCATTTCATTTATCCCCTCCTTCCACTCACCAAATTGAGTGACCCTGTGATTTCCCCCTACACCTATCCTCACCCTCTGCTCCCACCCCTTCTGCCCTTGAACCTCTATAAATATTTCACTAGCTTTCCTTCTAATTTACTATAATTCTTATCACTTCTTATTCAGTGTTTTTCTTTCTGTGAATTAGTTCACTCAGCCTAATGCTTTCCTGTCTCTCCCAAGTTAACTGGTATTTTTTTAAATTGTTGCTCCTGAGTACTGCATAGTAATTTCATCATGTGAATGTACCACAATTTAGCAATCCACTTGATTGTGGTTGGATATTTGGACTGTTTCCATGTTCTTGTGATGATCAATAATGTTATCAAAATTGGTGTGCAAATCTCTGTGTGTGTCTCACTTCTAATTTTATTGGGATATTCTTAGCAGTGGAATATCTGTGTCATATGGAATTTCCATGTTCAGCTTTTTGAGGAAACACTAACTGCCTTCATGAGTGGTTACCCCACTTTACCATCTACCAACAGAGAGTTCCAATCTCTCCACATTCTTTCCAACAAGTAATTTATTTCTTTCTGTCCTGTTACACTATGCTAGTGCTACTTGGGTAAGATAGTATATTATTATGGTTTGATTTGCATCTCTTATTACTGGTGATTTTGAGCATTTCTTCATGTGTCTGATGATCATCTGAATGTCTTTCTCTGTGGAAAAAGTCTTTCTATGGTTTTTTTGTTCATTTTGTAACTGGGCTATCAGTCTTTTCCTTGTTGAGACCTGTAGGATCAAGGGCCAATGGAAATGAAGGAAGATGTTTTAGCCGCACTGATTGTGTCTGGGAAAAACAAATTCCATTAACAGATTTTGCCTCTTTTTAAACTAAGTTATTTTTCTTCTTCTTAAGTGTAGGCATTCTTTATATATTCTTGATATAAAATTGTTATAAGAAAAAGCTTCCAATAATTTTCTATCCACTTAGTTGATAAAATTTTTGTAAAAAAAATTCTTCTTGTTGTTGTTATTATATTCGAATCAGTCACTTGTCATTCATAACAACCCTATGCACAACAGCTCTGAAACCTTCTCTATCCTGCTCCAACCTCACCTACCATTACCCCAATCACTGAGATCAATCTATCTCTTCAAGGGTCTTCCTCTCCTGCGCTGTCCCTCCACCCTCCCAAGCATGGCGTCCCTCTCCAAGGACCGGTTCTTTCTTGCAACATGTCCAAAGCATGTCAGATAAAGCTTCAGAAACCTTGCCTCCAACAAGCATTGTAACTTCACCCTCTCCAGGACAAACCTGTTTGTTCTCCTGGTAGTACATGGCACATTCAATATTCTTCACAGCACCACAGCTCAAAGTCATCAATTCTCTTTTTATCATGCCTAGTCATTGTCCAGCTTTCTGATGCATAGCATCTAATTGCAATGAGTATGGCCTGGATCAAGCACACCTTGATCTCTAGACTGACATCATTGCTTCTCAGTAATCTGTGGAGAGATCCCTGACAGCAGACTTCCCCAATTCAATTTGTCTTTTGATTTCCTGGCTGTTGCTACCAA